TGCCTTCGTAGTGTTGAGAGCCCGGTCTGGAAAGATTCTTTGCTTCAATTCCGAAAAATCGAACATTTGACTTTGGAATTTAAAAAAAAATCGTTAAACTCAGATCTTTGACTTACGCAGATGGATTAATATTTTGCAAGAATGACGATGAGCAATAGAGTCCATTGTTCAGGTTGCAAGCGTTGAACAGTGGGAGAATACAGGTTCCAGATCCGCGGTTCGCACCTGAAAATATGAATTTCTTAAAGAAATTCTGAATCACTGTATTTCTGGATTCTGAATTTTCGAAAATCTGAATTTCAGAGAATGAAAACTTCAAAATCTTTTTTTCTGAGACTCAGAGGCCTCTATAGATTCTAAGAATCGCAAACATTAACAATTATTTTTCTAAACCCACCAGCAACAGAAACATAAGTCTCCACTTTATTCGTCAATGGTCCACCAAGGTCAACATTTACATTATCAACACAAATCCCGCCCATAATCGCTTTTCTGGCAATTGGAGATCCCAAAGAATAGCCAATCACATCCACTTTTTGGCCAGTGAATTGATACACAGCTTCAATCATATTTCTGATTTGTTGAACGAATCCACATTCCATTTTCACATTGATCACATTTACAGCAGGTCCTGCTCCATAGGTGGTAGCGTATACGGTCTCATCTGTCCATCCATTCGATTTGAAATAATTTCTCTGAGGGGTGAATGTCCCGGCGGTATTGGTGATTCCATGGACCAGGATGATGGGACGTTTGCTGGAAAATGAATAGGATGATTTTTTGGCGTTTGCTATAAAATAAATAAGATTTTCGGATTTTTAAAAACGTTGAATTCGTTAAATTTATTTGAAATCTTGCGAAAAATTGAATTTTACAGTTTTCATGATCATTGATTTAAAACAAACTACTCCAAAAATTATGAATTCAAAGAACCAGAAAAATCGGAACATTTGCATAATCATGAAAATTTTCCTCTTTTTGTGAACTTTAGAAAATTTGAATTTTTTGAGATTCTGAAATTTTGAAATTCCGAGATTCTGAGATTCTGAGTTTTTCAGATTCTGAGATGATTCTGGTTTTGAAAGGATGAAGTTCAGAAATTCGGGGAAATTAAAATAATCTAAATATTTATAGAAAGTACAGAAAAAATGTATATTAATTCTGATGTTCCTGGATTCTGGAAATTTAAGATCTTGATATCTGAAACTCTAGAATTCTGAAATTCTGAGATTCTAAGATTTTAAGCTTTGAAAATCCTAAGATCCTGAGATTCTGAGTTTCAAAGATTTCTGCATAATTTGAATTACTTTAAAACCTAACTCACTTAGTCTGGCTCAATCCATCATGATTTCCACCTCCATAACTTCCATCAGCTCCCAAATCAGTTCTAGCTAATGCAGTCAATCTGGCTTCTCCATAGGTGGCATTGATGAAATTTCGGAAGCTTGCCGAAAAATCGGCGGATACTGTAGCCGCCAACAATGCCAAAAGAATGGTCGATTTGAGATGAAGAGCCATGATTGACTGATGAATTTCTGGCAGTTGGGGTGTTCTTTTATACTGTCAGACTAAAGTTTACGGATAGTTCCGATAGACTATTTGATATTCAGAAATTTAAATTTTTTTGGAATTTTTGAGTTTTTGAACGGAGAAAAAAGATTAAAAAGGGGTAGAGAAAAGGCAACAGACATGATTATAGTTGTGTTTTTTTTGTGTGAGTCTGTTCTGGAAGATTATGCCACAGTTTCCGGGGTTACTGTAGAAAACTACCCGTAAACTTTAGTCTGACAGTATAAAAGAACACCCCAACTGCCAGAAATTCATCAGTCAATCATGGCTCTTCATCTCAAATCGACCATTCTTTTGGCATTGTTGGCGGCTACAGTATCCGCCGATTTTTCGGCAAGCTTCCGAAATTTCATCAATGCCACCTTGGAGAAGCCAGATTGACTGCATTAGCTAGAACTGATTTGGGAGCTGATGGAAGTTATGGAGGTGGAAATCATGATGGATTGAGCCAGACTAAGTGAGTTAGGTTTTAAAGTAATTCAAATTATGCAGAAATCTTTGAAACTCAGAATCTCAGGATCTTAGGATTTTCAAAGCTTAAAATCTTAGAATCTCAGAATTTCAGAATTCTAGAGTTTCAGATATCAAGATCTTAAATTTCCAGAATCCAGGAACATCAGAATTAATATACATTTTTTCTGTACTTTCTATAAATATTTAGATTATTTTAATTTCCCCGAATTTCTGAACTTCATCCTTTTCAAAACCAGAATCATCTCAGAATCTGAAAAACTCAGAATCTCAGAATCTCGGAATTTCAAAATTTCAGAATCTCAAAAAATTCAAATTTTCTAAAGTTCACAAAAAGAGGAAAATTTTCATGATTATGCAAATGTTCCGATTTTTCTGGTTCTTTGAATTCATAATTTTTGGAGTAGTTTGTTTTAAATCAATGATCATGAAAACTGTAAAATTCAATTTTTCGCAAGATTTCAAATAAATTTAACGAATTCAACGTTTTTAAAAATCCGAAAATCTTATTTATTTTATAGCAAACGCCAAAAAATCATCCTATTCATTTTCCAGCAAACGTCCCATCATCCTGGTCCATGGAATCACCAATACCGCCGGGACATTCACCCCTCAGAGAAATTATTTCAAATCGAATGGATGGACAGATGAGACCGTATACGCTACCACCTATGGAGCAGGACCTGCTGTAAATGTGATCAATGTGAAAATGGAATGTGGATTCGTTCAACAAATCAGAAATATGATTGAAGCTGTGTATCAATTCACTGGCCAAAAAGTGGATGTGATTGGCTATTCTTTGGGATCTCCAATTGCCAGAAAAGCGATTATGGGCGGGATTTGTGTTGATAATGTAAATGTTGACCTTGGTGGACCATTGACGAATAAAGTGGAGACTTATGTTTCTGTTGCTGGTGGGTTTAGAAAAATAATTGTTAATGTTTGCGATTCTTAGAATCTATAGAGGCCTCTGAGTCTCAGAAAAAAAGATTTTGAAGTTTTCATTCTCTGAAATTCAGATTTTCGAAAATTCATAATCCAGAAATACAGTGATTCAGAATTTCTTTAAGAAATTCATATTTTCAGGTGCGAACCGCGGATCTGGAACCTGTATTCTCCCACTGTTCAACGCTTGCAACCTGAACAATGGACTCTATTGCTCATCGTCATTCTTGCAAAATATTAATCCATCTGCGTAAGTCAAAGATCTGAGTTTAACGATTTTTTTTTAAATTCCAAAGTCAAATGTTCGATTTTTCGGAATTGAAGCAAAGAATCTTTCCAGACCGGGCTCTCAACACTACGAAGGCAACTACGTCTTCTCTATCTACGGACCCAGTGACGATAAGGTCAAATGGAGCAACAACTGTGGAACGCGCAACTCCCAAATTCTTGGGGCTGATGATGAGAGAGATAATGTTAGTTTTCAGAACCTCAGAATCTCAAAATCTCAGAATTTAGGAATTTCGGAATTTCAGAATCCTAGAATTATGAGCTAGTGTCGATTCTTCTAAGTTTTCTGAACTTCTTGAATTTACTTTCTGATTCTTGGTTTCTATGATTTCAAGTTTTAAACATTTTGAAATTTCCAAAACCCTAAACACTTACAGATTCCCGGAAACCACGACACCATCCTCACCAGCACCGTCGCAATGCAGAAGACTCTTCTGGACACTCACGCCTTCTAAAAATGATTGGAATTTTCGTGAATTTCCACTGCTTCTGGGCACATTGATTTTTTTAAATTCTGATTGTTTAGCTTGGCCTTCAATAAAAATGAGTTCGAAAACTTTTTTTTTGGGGGTTTTTCATTTTTCTTCTCTACGTCATCTGAATTTGTTTTCCGGTTCCTGTTTTCCGGTTTGAATGATTTTAGAATTTCAAAAATTTTAAAGTCTTAAATTTCGATAAAAAAAACCACAGAACAAAACATTCTTATCAATTCACTGATAAGGAAAATGTAACTGTAAATTTTCAAATTTTCAAAATATAAAAAACTTTAATTTGGGTGAATTGTTATTTTTCTAAATATAATACTTCCTAATCGTATTTTGAAATTGTGCAATTCTATTTGAAATATGGAAAGGGAAGAAATTTTTATTAAATTTTAATCAGTGAAATTGGGAAAATTAGTCACTGATAAGAGGGAAAACACCCAGGATGTTTCAAAAATAGAAACTTTTATGGGTTCCCGATTTTTTTTAATTTCAAAAATTCCATTTTTGGGAGTTTTCAGATGATGGTGATGGGAAGAAAATCATATAAAAAGGCAATCAAATTTCAAAAATATGTTCAATTTTAAATTTTTTTCTGAGGGCCCCTATCTTCAATTTTTTAGCCGATTTATTTCGGTTCTTGTCAGAGGTACAAAAAAGTTGTCAACTGATAAATTCTTTATCGGAATATCACCAATATTTCATCAGTTGACACATTTTTGATATCTCTTATAGGAACCGAGATAATTGAGCTCAAAGTGGACAGTATGGGGGCTCTTCTATAAGAGGTTTTTATATCAAGAAAATCCAATTTTCAGCTAAAAAAATGCTCAAAAAACTAATTTTCGTGCCAATTTTGGTTTTCTACTGCGTAGCTGCTGAACCAATATGCACAAATGGGTTCACTTTGGTCAATAATAAATGTCTGAAACTAATGAGCACCACTACAAACTACAATTCTGCGGAACAATATTGTCGGGGATTTGGAGCCACTTTGATGACAGTTAAGGATTCTGTGGTGAGTTGAAATTCAGAAATTCAGAAATTCAAAAAATGAGCCTCCATAGTAAAATTTGTCTAAAAATGTTTTGGACATCCGGACATCTAGAAAAACAGAAAAACCCTAAATTTTCCAGGAAAATGACGATATCAAAACCTTCCTCAAATCCTCTGCTTCCATGGTCTGGATGGGAATATACTGTATTACAAATGAGCAATGTTTCTGGGATGATTCATCGAAAAATGTCTCTAATTATTCGAATTTCGCAACAGGTAAGATATTTTGGGACATCCGGATATTCGGAGATACAGAATAAAAAAAACAGTTTTCCAGGTTTTCCACTGACCGACGAGGGAAATTGTGTGTATTTCGCCGTTGCAACTGGAAAATGGATCAGTGGAGATTGTGATTCTCAACAGAGAGCCTCTGTCTGTGAGATGCCAACTACAGTAGCCGGTGAGTAGATCTTTAATTATGTCTATGTTTCAAAATCGTTGAAAATTCTCCTTCAATAGAATCACGGCACTACTCATCAACTTTGAGCTTAATTATCTCGGTTCCTATCAGAGATATCAAAAACTTGCCAACTGATAAATTACTTATCATATTATCACCAATCTTTTAACAGTTGTCAACTTCTTGATATCTTTCACAGGAATCGAGATAATTGAGCTCGAAGTTGACTGGTTTTGGTGGGCTGCTACGGATTCTCGGAAAATCGAAATTCTTAAAAATCCAATATTCTAGACAAATATTTCCAGATGACTGCCCGAACAACTTCAATGGCAATTGCTACACCTTCCACGACAAACAAAAATTCGGCGACGCTCAAAAAATCTGTCAGCAGGAGTCTGGAAATTTAGCTTCAATTATTTCAGAACAAGAAAACCGCTATATCATGTCCCAAGCTTCTCAATTTAATAAAAATTGAAAATTTGTTCGGTCTAATAGGAAACGTTGAAAATATCTGGAATTCTGGAATACTGGGAATTTTGAAATATTCAGATTTTTCGGAATAACCAGAGATTTCGGAAAAATTTGGAATTTGGGAAAAATCTAAAATTTCCCAAAAACCTTAATTTTGAAAAATGAGAATTTCGGAAAAATGCAAAAAATTTGGAAACTGTGGAAAATCGGGATTTTTGAAAAATAAAAAATTTTGATAAATTTTTTATTTACAAAAATCCAAAAATTTTGGAAAAAATCAATAAATTGAAAAAACCTGAAAATTTTGAAAAAAAATGGTTTTTTTTGAATCCTGAAAAACTTCTGAATTTCTGAATTGCTTGAAATTCTTGAAAAAATAGTTCTTGGGTTAAACCAGGAAATTGAGAATCTCCGAATTTCAAAAATATGAAAATTTAGACATAAAAAACTTTTAAAAAATGAATTTTTGAATTTTTTCAAAAATTTTTAGTTTTGAGTTTTCTAACGATTTTCGAGTTTCCAAATTACTGAATTTCTGAATTTTTGATTTTCAAGATTTCCGAATTTGTGAATTATAGAATTTCAGCATTTTTCTGATTTACTACGAGCTATTGATATTCTGAATTTCCAAATTTCAGGAGTTTCGAGTTTTTAAATAATCTGGAATTTCTTCAGATATTTTGTAAAAAAGAAAGCGGAAAAAGAAATTTGAGAAAATGAGACATTTTATTAAAACTTCAACAAGCAATACAACCAGCAAACGAGGTGAATCTAGCGCTAAATCCAGGATACACATTACTTCTATCAGTCGAAAATGTGACGGTGGCAGTATTTCCGGTACTAACAACATTGAATGGGACCAAAAGTCCAGAAAAATTACCCAAAAGAGTGTTAGCGGTAGTGTCACCATCATTAACCGCCACCCAATCAAATGTATGCTCCGTCGAAAAGTAGGTAAACTTCAAAAGGATGTTATAGGATCCCAGGGTGGCTAGATGGTAAGAGCAGAGCACGTTGTTGTCATAATTATTGGGGTAATTTGGCGAAGTGATAATTCCAGGAGCCAAAAGAAGAGAAGAGTTACAGTTGGATGGATTCGAGGGGACTGGGGTTACTGTAACTGATGGATAAGTGGGGTTAGTGCATTTAAGACCAGCTGGACGTTTGCAAAGATAAGAGAAGGCACTAGAACAGCTGACACTTGTCCAAGAACCAGCTGATGGGGTTCCAGTGACAGCATTTGACATTACCATGCAGTTATCAGTGTGGTTTGTGAATGGATCAATGTTGTTGTAGGACCAAACGGAGCCATCTACCCAGCTGAAAACGTTTGTTGATGGCCACATTCCACCGATTAGGACAGATCCGCGACCAAGACGACGGGATACTGTAGTGATGTAACGGTTTTCGTTAGCGGAGGTGATTGAGGCTAGGTTTCCGCAGTTTAGCTCGCATTGGGTTTGGGCTCCGGCGAAGGCGGAAGATGATTGAGAGAAGGTGTAACAGTAGCCATTGTAGTTGTAGGGGCAGTCGTCTGGAAGTTTTGAATATTGGAAATTCTTAAAAGTTATCGAATTTTCGAGAACTTGAATTTTAGTAAACTTCTAGGAATTTCAAATTTCGTTAAAAAATTCAGCGTAACTGGGTTTTGGTTTTTTGAGAACTTCGAATTTTCAAGAATTCAGAATTTTAAGGGATTTTATTTTCAAGTTTTTGAATTTTCAAGTTTATGAATTTTCAAGTTTTTGAACTTTCGAATTCTTGGATTTTCACATTTTCTGAGTTTCTGAATTTCTGAATTTCTGTATTTCCGAATTTCTGAATTTCTGAATTTCTGAATTTTTAATCGAATTTTCGAGTTTCGGAATACTGGAATTAAAAAAACCAATCATTTGAACTTCTCATTTTGAGACTTTCAAAAAAAATTCAAAATTTAGGCGGGAATTTAAAAAGTGTATAGTAACCTAAAACCCCTATACCCTACCTGCATGTGTACTCGGCAATTCGCAAACGTATGCTCTCGGCTCCTTATCACAGTCTCCGCTCAACCATTTTCCAGCCAGCGCACCTTGCGTCGAGTAGTAAACACATTTCCCAATGTCAACGAGTGGAAAACCTAAAGATTATTCTTATCATTGATGCCAAAGACCCCGTGTCTTCCGCTAATAAAAAAGAAATTGAAATTCAAAAAATCAAAATTACCGCTTGAAAAACTATTATAAGTATCTGCGGCGCCCGTAGAATCATCCCATAGACATCTGGATGGAGAACTATCCAAACAGTACAGTCCGATCCAAATCAAAGAAGCCGCTGAGCTAACGAATGTGGTGATTGCGCGGTTGTCCTGGAAATTGAAATTTTTTATGTTTAATGCAGCAACGGGTAAAATAAGGGGTCTCTTTTAGAAATTGGCAAACAAGGAATTTTCAAAAAATTCTGCTAAAGCAAAAATGTCAATATAGTTCTGTTTAACACCCTTCAAATTTTTTTTAAATGATTGGATACATAACTGCCGAGCTTCAGACCCTGAAAATGGTCAAAATGTCCGAAAATTAACGGAAAAAACGTTATTGTATTTCTTATTAGCCGGTACTGTTGATTTCTAAATTTTATAAATAATCAGAAAATCCACTTCAAACCCTAGAATTCTATCCAAAAACCAACTTCCTAGCTCATCTAGAACTCGAGATAGGTCACTTGAAGTTTCCGAGGTTAGAGACGCAGCGTGTCTCGTCGCCTCCTAAACTTGAAGCGGCTCTATCTCGGTTCCTAGAAGCGAATGTGATTTTCAGACAGAATTGTAGGAAATTTTGTCTATTTTATGAGTATAAAATTTATGGAAAAACCTTACAATAGAATTCTTTGCTGTCACCAAAGTTGCTCCGTAAACCATGCATGTATTTTCGGCGGCTCGATAGGTTGAAACATCCGTGAAAAGTTTCAGACACTTGTTATTAACCAGAGTGAATCCATTTGTGCAAGTTGGAGTGCTTGCAGCAATCCAAGACACTAAAAAAGCGGAGAAGAATATTATTTGGAGTTGCTTCATGTTGGGAAGGGGAAGAGTGAGCAGTTTTCCTTATCGGAGTGGTTTTTATAGGACTAAAACGTCTTTAGGGCTTGTTTCAAAACGAAATTTTCGATAAACTTGGTTTGGAAATGTTGCGAAAAAGTCAACAAATTTCAGAAATTCGAAAAGTTAGAAATCAGAAATTCGGAAGTATTCATAAAAATTCAAACGCTTTGAAATTACTGAAAACATAGGGATATTAGAAAAAAAACTGAAAATTGAGATCTTCAGGATTAAAAAGAAATCAATCCCACAAATTTCAGAGTTTCAGGAATTCAGGAATTGAAGAATTCCAAAATTCGAAAATTTGGTGTTTGAGAACTTCAGATTTTCGGATTTGCAGAATTTTCAAATTTCAATTTCAAGAACCTCTAAAACTGTAATAAAATCCAAACTTTCAGATCATTTTTCAGCGAAAAAAATTATGATTCATTTTTTTCAAGCACTCTTTAATCCAGGTTTAAAATTGATAACACTCTTTTGTGCTCGCGGAGCAAAACTCAAACTTTCCAAACTTTTGATCTTGACAACTCAAAAAAAATTGCAAAAAATGTGTCATAATCGTAAAATCTTTTTTATTGACATCATAATTATCATTGATTATTTTCTTCATAAGGTTTTCGGAGTCTAGAAATTTTTTATTCGTTTCTGAAAACTATGAATTGTTTTTTAATGGTTTTTTAACAATTCTACCGTATTACTAGTCTTTTTTCCAACTTTTTCTAACAATTCTACTATATTCCATGTCTGGAATTGAAAGAAAAATCCAATTTTCAGCCAAGAAATGCTTAAAGAATTAATTTTTCTGACACTTCTACAGTACTCCCGGTCCCTTCTCAGTGATCCAATATGCACAAATGGATACACTTTGGTCAATAACAAATGTTTGAAGCTTTTCATTGACAAAGTAACTTATCAGAATGCGGAGAGAAATTGTATGGATGTTGGAGCAACATTGGTGACTGTCAAAAATGCTATTGTGAGTTTTTTCTTGAGATTTTTGGAAATTCTGAAATTCCGAACTTCTGAAATCCTGAATTTCTGAATTTTTGACATTTTGGAGTTTGGAAATTCAGAAGTTCTGAAAATTTAAGGTTCTGAGATTCTGAGATTCTGAGATTCTGAGATTCTGAGATTCTGAGATTCTGAGATTTTGAGATTCTGAGATTCTGAGATTCTGAGATTCTGAAATTTTGAGATTCTGATATTCTGTGATTCTGATATTCTGAAGAGCGGAAATTTTTGAAAAATCGGTAATTCTCTCTGAAGTTATGATTTTCTAGAATTTCGAAATTCTAGATTTCTTAATAATTTCAGAAAAAAACCGGATTTTCAGAATTCCAGAGATTCTGAAACATTCAAATATCCCTCCATATCCAATAGTCTCTAAAATTCATTTTCTCAGGACAACCACGCTATCAGTACTGTAGCCGGTTCTTCAGCAAACACCATCTGGATGGGTCTGTTCTGTTTGGATAATGACCCATCGAAATGCCTCTGGGATGATTCCACTGTATCTGCGGAGCTCTACAGTAATTTTGCTCCTGGTAAGTGATCAAAAAATGTTTTGAACTCAATTTTTTTTTGACTTTTTGTCTAACATGACGGCTTATCACTAACTGATTCCGATAAGACTGTCTTACGGGGTCTAAGACTGCCCACCAAATTTCGATTTTTAGGTTTTCCCCATGTCGATGTTGGAAAATGTGTGTACTACTCTTCCCAAGGAGCATTGACTGGAAAATGGATCAGTGGAGATTGTGATATGGATAAGCTGGCTTATATTTGTGAACTACCATATACCCATGCAGGTCAGAGATTCAAAAAATCAGAATTTTAAAATTTTTGGAAATTCAAAAATTCAGAAATTTAAAAGATTTGGAAATTCAAAGTTTCAAAATTTTCAAAAATTTGGAGATTCAAAAAATCAAATATCCGAAAATTCAGAAATTTAGAAACTCAGAAATTCAGAAATTTAGAAACTCAGAAATTCAGAAATTTAGAAACTCAGAAATTCAGAAATTTAGAAACTCAGAAATTCAGAAATTTAGAAACTCAGAAATTCAGAAATTTAGAAACTCAGAAATTCAGAAATTTAGAAACTCAGAAATTCAGAAATTTAGAAACTCAGAAATTCAGAAATTTAGAAACTCAGAAATTCAGAAATTTAGAAACTCAGAAATTCAGAAACTCAGAAATTCAGAAATTCAGAAATTCAGAAATTCAGAAATTCAGAAATTCAGAAATTCAGAAATTCAGAAATTCAGAAATTCAGAAATTCAGAAATTCAGAAATTCAGAAATTCAGAAATTCAGAAATTCAGAAATTCAGAAATTCAGAAATTTAGAAATTTAGAAATTCAAAAAATCAAAAATTCAGAAATCCAAAAATTCAGAAATTCAGAAATTCAGAAATTCAGAAATTCAGAAATTCAGAAATTCAGAAATTCAGAAATTTAGAAATTCAGAAATTCAGAAATTTAGAAATTTAGAAATTCAAAAAATCAAAAATTCAGAAATTCAAAAATTCAGAAATTCAGAAATTCAGAAATTCAGAAATTCAAAAATTCAGAAATTCAGAAAATCAGAAATTTAGAAATTCAGAAATTCAGAAATTTAGAAATTTAGAAATTCAAAAAATCAAAAATTCAGAAATCCAAAAATTCAGAAATTCAGAAATTCAGAAATTCAGAAATTCAGAAATTCAGAAATTCAGAAATTCAGAAATTTAGAAATTCAGAAATTCAGAAATTTAGAAATTTAGAAATTCAAAAAATCAAAAATTCAGAAATTCAAAAATTCAGAAATTCAGAAATTCAGAAATTCAGAAATTTAGAAATTCAGAAATTCAGAAAATCAGAAGTTCTGATATTCTGATATTCGAAAATTACAACATCTGTATTAGAAGGGCCCCACTAATAGAACTGCCCTTCTAATACAGGTTCGATTGTAAAAACACATATGTCACTTTTTGAATTTTTAAATTTCTGAATTCTAAAAAACTAATAATCTGGAAATGCATTTCCTAAAACTTTGAAATTCTGGAAATCCAAGATTTTCAATTTTCAGGGGCCAAATTTCCTATTCAGCAAATTTTAAAAGCGTGGTGTTTTAAAATTCCTAAACATCAAAAAATCCAAAATTCCAAGGTTCCAAATTTTCCAGACGACTGCCAATACAATACAACGGCCATTGCTATTCCTTCTACGATGCTCCATTACCATTCACCCAAGCTCAAGAGAAATGCGAAAAAGAATGTGGAAACCTAGCATCAATTCATTCCCCAAACGAGAACCGTTACCTAGCAACCCTCTCCAACCGTCTGATTTCGGGATACAACATTTATATCGGAGGCATGTGGCCCCTTCCCAACGTCTTCAACTGGATTGACGGCTCTCAGTGGTCTTATAACAATATAGATCCTTCCTATTCCCATGGCCCTAACTGTATGACAATTTCTAACTCCAAATCTAGCTCCGTAGCTTCTGGATTCTGGTTTAGTATGAATTGCTACCAAGCCAACGCCTTCATTTGCAAAACGCCCACTGGAACTAAATGCCCAGCTAATCAGCCAGTGGTCCAAGTCACTCCAGTCCCTTACAATCCCTCATTCTGCAATAATAGCATTCTATTGGCTCCTGGAGTCATCTCCTCTCCGGATTTCCCACTACCGTACTCGGGATTCCAGTCATGCACTTATCAATTAAGTACCCTTGGATCGTTCAATATTCTTTTGAGGTTCAGTGATTTTCAATTGGAATCTGGGAAGGATTTTGTGAAGGTTTACGATGGATCTAGTGAGAATAGCAAGTTGTTGGGGAGCTTCACTGGACAAGAGGATGCGTTTGCATTGGTCTCGAGTGGAAATACCATGTTGGTTACGTTTAAAACTGGATCTACCAAAGGATCGGCTGGTTTTAGTGCCAGATACACACCGTACTCTTTTTCAAGATAACTTTTTTTTGGGGAATTCAATAAAGTTTTCATTAATTATTCATGTATTTTCGGAGAGCACAAGTATTGAAGAAATCATTTTTCAAAGTACAAATATCGCTAGAAAAAATTAAACTCTTTATTTATTTCCGGATTTTTCATCCCAACCAAAAAAATCAAACAGAAGCAAACGACGCTTTGAATAATACACGTGTGTTGTAACGGTTTCCATTGGTCTTCACAGTCATTGTATTTTCGGAAGACTTAACAGAAAACGGGCCACTAGTTCCTGAAAAGTCTCCGAGACTAGTTTTACCATCGCTATCGTAGACAGTAATAACATCCCATGCGCTATTGGAAAATTCCGTGAATTTGAGAAAAATTCTGCTTCCAGATGCTGTAGCAAGAGAATACGTGCAGTGGGGTCCATCATAGGAAACTGCCGGGTAGCGTGGAGATGTAATGACTCCAGAAAACATCAGAAGACCTTGATTGCATCCGGATGGGTTATTAATCGATGGGCTGACTGTGACAGGAGGATTATCGCATTTAGTAGTGGCATCCAGTTTGCACACAAATCCACGTGGATCCGCACAAGGCACACTGTACCAGGCTCCAGATGCCACGTCATTAGATGGTCCGTTGGAAATTGCCAAGCAGTTCTCGTTATCTGACACGTAGTCAGAATCAACATTATTGTAGTCCCACTTGGATCCATCTTTCCAGCTTCTCTCCGAATAATTGGCTCCAATGAAGAAATTTTGATTGGGTGCAACCACGGTGTTTAAGTAGCGATTTTCTTGAGCGGAAAGAACTGAAACCAGATTTCCACATTCGTTTTCGCAGAGTTGTTGAGCTTCGGCAAATGGAAGAGGGTCATTGAAATAGTAACAGAAGCCATTGTAGTTGTTTTTGCAAAAGTTGGATGCTGGAAGATAGATATTATTTTGTTATTTTTCAACAGATGCAAATTTTTGAATTTCTGAACTCCATTGGATTTTCTGAATTTTTGAATTTCCTTAAATTTTCTGAATTTTTTAAATTATTGACTACTTGTTCTTTGAAAAGTTGTTTATACTGTGAGATATAAAAAGTCAGGAATTTGAAAAATTGGAATTTCGAAGCTTTTACAAAAACTATCAATGACTTGAAAAAAAAATCTCAAAAATTGATAACTTTGCGGATTTCCAGAGTTTCAAAAAATTTCTGAAAATTTTTTAGAGACGCCATTTTAGAGACGACTGACTAGCGGAGATAATTAGAAATTCGTCGAAAATTTTAATCATAGAGATTTGGCATTTCAAAAGTTCTTGAGAATTTGATGTTTCGAAATTTTGGGAAATGGATTTTAGAAATATCGAAACTTTAAAGGGGGACTCCGACCAAAAATTTTTATTGCGTTAAAATGTGTTAAAATTTATCTATTTTTCAAATATTATTGCGAAAAAATTCAAAGAAAATCCGAAATCCCCGAAAAACGGCGTTGAAAAGGAAGAAAATTCAAAAAAAGGTGCCGCCGGGGGACGAGGATTTTCAGTGAGAAACCTAGGCCACGGCACCTGACAGCCTTTTTTCAAGTCGCCGACAGTGGTTTTTTGTGATTTTTACCCTGCC